GTTGCAGATCCAGGAAATCCAATAGTAGGACTCAACACACAAGGCCAGAAAAAATGGATGCCCCATCTGAAGGAGAAAGAGAATTTGCCTTGTCTCTTCCTTTTTGTTCCATTCAGGTCCTCAATGGACTGGATGATGCCTTCACACTGGTGAGGGTGATGTTCTTTATTCAATCTACTGATTCAAACGTCAGTCTCTCCTGGAAATATTCTCACAAATAGAAGCAGCAGTACTGTTTTCCAACTAACTGTGCATACTTTAAGTCATTCAAGTTGACACATAAAATTATCTATCACAGATGTTGATAATGGAGACAAAACTAAGTTTTAGTTGAACAAAAACAAAATAGTCAATTGTTGCTGAGGTCCATGGCCTGCGATATTCTTAAAAAGCAAGAACATCTAGATATAGTTTGAGTACATACTAAAAGATTCTTGAATTAGTTACCAAGAATCCTTTAAAGGCTGGCACTGTGGCGCAGAAGATCCAGCAGCCACCTGTGACCCCAGCATCCCATACTGGAGGCTCAGATCGGGGGATGCTCTGCTTCCGATCCAGCTCTCTGCTAATGTACTTTGGAATGCAGCAGATGAGGGTCCAAGTGATTGGGCCCCGCCACTCATGTGGGAGACTATGATGGAGTTCCTGGCTCTTGGCTTCAGCCTGGCCCAGCCTACCATGGCAGCCATTTGGGGCGTGAACTAGTGGATGGAAGATCTCTGTCTCTTCCACTTTCTCTGCAACTCTGCCTTTCAAATAGATAAGTGAATAAATCACTTAAAAACAGAAGCTATGAGAATTTAAGCAGGAAGCAAATATTTTCATTCTAAAAAGTTATATATCTCTTTTTCCTTTTTAGAAATACATTCTAGACAAACTTTTCAACATTGATGTTCTATCCAAAACTTTACATATTCTATCATATAACATTCTATTATATCAGTGCCGCTTTAATTCTTAAGTAGACATTACTATATAGTAAAATAAAGTGTAAAAATCTGAACTGTAGATAATTTTCTTCATTTTTTTTCTCTTTCCACACAACATTAAGCAGGAAATTATAATGGATTAAGATACACAATGTGACCAGTGCTGTGGCGTAGTCGGTAAAGGTACCACCTGCAGTTCTGGCATCCCATATGAGCACCAGTTCAAATCCCAGATGCTCCACTTCAAATCCAGCTCTCCACTATGACTTGGGAAAGCAGTAAAGATGGCCCAAGTCCTTGGGCCCCTGCACCCATATGGGAAGACCCAGAGGAAGCTCCTGGCTTCTAGCTTCAGATTGGCACAGCTCCACCCATTGCGGCCTACTGGGGAGTGAACCAGAGGATGGAAGACCTCTCTCTCTCTCTCTTTCTGCCTCTCCTCTCTCTGTGTAACTCTGGTTTTCAAGTAAATAAACAAATCTTTAAAGATATATGATAATTTTAAATAAAATAACTCTATATAAATAAGCCAATAAGGGAAATATAGAATGTCAAAGATTACTTATTTATAAAATAATTGATTAATATTTTAATACAGGCAGGGAATCATTAAAAATATGTCTTGATCCATTTTAATTTTTCTAGCTGAGGGAGAAACTTCTTCCTTATTATTTTTCCCAAGCAATATTGTATGTCACCATGGAGAAGGGATGATTCATCAATGATTCAGTAAGTTTTATTCACATTCTCTCTGTAACCTTTTTGGAATTTTCAGTTAAAACAGCTAAAATTCTTGTGCATAAAGTATACATTAAAATATTTTTGTTTCTCAATCTTCTACCTAATAACAAGTATAACTTTACAAGGTATATATATATTTTATATATATAAATTTTTAATCAATGCTAACCAGTGGAGAATTGTTAATTTTCCCAATTTACTATATGCCAAACAACCAAGGAATAAGCAATTAAAATTGCTCCCTTAACAAATAAAAGTAGACAGTAATCTATCTAGTACTTGAATTATGCCTCACATGTACAAATATGATAAAGTAATAGGATGAATATGACAAAATAATGTATTGTACTACATGTGATAAAATGAATAAGATGGCAAATATAAACTATACAGTTAATAAAAATTAAAAACAATTTTTAAAAATGTTTGTAAAGATTGATTTTTAAATAATCTTTGAAAGGCAGAAAGAGACAGAGAGATCTTCCATCCACTGGTTAACTCCCCAAATGGCCACAATGGCTAGGGCTGTGCCAGTCCGAACCAAGATCTTCTTCCAGGTCTCCCAGCTGGCTTCAGGGACCCAAGAACTTGCCCATCTTCAACTGCTTTCCTAGGAACATTAGAAGGGAGCTGGAACAGAAAAGTAGCTGTCAGTTTTTGAACTGGTGCCCATATGGGATGCTCATGTCATAGGCAGGGCCTTAACCCACTATGTCACAATGCCAACCCCAGTTTTTAAAAATTGGTTGTATTTATATGAAAAGCAGTGAGGCAGAGGCGGACAAACATCTCTCATTCACTGTTCACACCCCCAACAGCCCCTAATAGCGAAAGCTGAGATTCAAGAATTCAGTCTGGGTGTCCCACATGGATGGCAGCAATTCAACTCCTTGAGCCTTCACCTGCAGACATCATGCTGATTTGCATTAGCTGGAATCTGGAATTTGACGCAGAGCTGGGACACAAACCCACGCACTCTGACACACAATGTGGAAGTGGAGCAGTGGGGGTGCTGGTGCTGCAGGCTGCTGGCCCCGATGTCCCAAGTGACCTCCTAACTGCTATGCTCCTATCTTGACTGCATTTGACTGTTTTTGAAAGGTGTCCTCTGGTTTGACATTGATGAATTTTTGTTTTTCTCAAAAATCATGTTACAGAAATGAAATGAATAGGTCAGGACTTCAGTACTAAAGACACCAGAACTGAATTCTACATATAACCTAAGCTTGGACCCTACTGCCCAGATACCTTCAGAAGACTTCTTGATTTCAACAGTCTAAGACTCTCAGAGAGCAGCCCACACTGTGGCACAGCAGGTAAAGCCACCACCTGTGGAGCCAGCATCCCATATGGGCACCCATTCGAGTTCTGGTTGTTTCACATCTGATCCAGCCCCCTGCAAATGTGCCTGGGACAGTAGCAGAGAATGGCTCAAGTACTTGGGCCCCTGCACCCAAGTGGCAGACCCAGAAAAAGCTCCTGGCTCCTGGCTTTGGACCCATCCATCTCCGGCCTTTGCTGCCGTTTGGGGAGTGAACCAGCAGATGGAAAATTCTCTCTCTCTCTCTCTCTCTCTCTTTCTCTCTCTCTCTCTGTAACTCTGCATTTGAGATAAATAAATTGGGGCCAGCTCTGTGGCATAGTGGGTAAAACCACCGCCTGCACTGCCGGCACCCCATATGGGCCCCAGCTCGAATCCCGGATGCTTCACTTCCAATACAGCTCTCTGCTATAGCCTGGGAAAGCAGTGGAAGATGGCCCAAGTCCTTGGGCCCCTGCACCAGTGTGGGAGATCTGGAAGAAGCTCCTGGCTGTTGGCTTTGGATTGGCACAGCTCAAGCTATTGTAGCCAATTGAGGAATGAACCAGTGGATGGAAGACCCCCCCCTCCTCTCTCTCTTTCTCTCTCTCTGCCACTCTGTGTAACTCTTTCAAATAAATAAATCTTTTTAAAAAAGAAAGAAGAAAGAAATAAAGAAAGAAAGAAAGAAATTTTTAAAAAGACTTGATCAGAGAAATTAGCCATGCTATGCAAGAGTCCTGAGACACAGACTGTTTTATGTTGCCAAATTAGTGGTAATTTGAAGACTACAGAAAACTCACAGAAATGTAACAAAATTACCTGTATTTTACTTAAAGTACACTAAAACTATAGAAAAATATAGAAAACTAATCTTTTTGAAAAAATATAACCACCATTCCATTATTACAGCAAACAAATTAACAATTGCTGTACATCTGATATTAAGAGGTGTCAGGGGAGTTGCTCATCCTGGCCGCCATATTTTGTGTTAAGTAAGCATTAATAAACCAGTCACAAAAGTTAACAACAAAGTGTAACCTAGCAACTATGGAGGAGCCAATTCAAACCACTTCCACAAACTTTTGGATCACATCCTAATAAAACCTGGAGCCTGTTTTTCTGCAATTAGTCAGTTAAAGAGTTGTATTCAAATGATTGTGGAGACTACATTGCTTAGAACATGTTAAATCATGTCATAGTTAGTTTCCCCTCTTTGATGAGTCTCTGCAATTTTCAATAATGACAATGAGTCATTCATTCTAAAAGTTTTTGGAGAGTATGCCATTTGCAATTATATATTACCAATTTCTCACAGTGGTGCTTTTCTCTTTTCAGTCTCTTTTTGTACTATACTCAAGGACTTCATTTGGTTTCTCAGATGAACTATACAAAGAATAAAATACTAGATGAAAAATACCCAAGTGTTAATAATTTTTACTTGGATAGAGTTTAAGTGTATTAGTAATATTACTTTCTGAATTAACTCAATTTAGAATTTTTGTTTCCAAATTTAAAAAACTAGTAATTTTTAAAAATACTTACACTTCTGACATAAATTCTTTTGTGAATTTTACCTTTTGATTATCCTTAGGAAAATGTTCCTGGATGTTCTTTCAGACTTTGCCTATCCATCTCCCTGAAGTACTCCTTTGCAGTACTCCTCTAGATCCTTCTTTAAAGGCCTTCGACAGATCTGTCTTCTTTTTAGAATATTCCCAATGTATTATGGAAAGAAACTATTGATGCATCTCACTTACCTTTAATGTAAGAACAGCAAAAACTCATGAAGTCACATGGTTACTGATTCCCAAGCTTGGCTCTTGCAAATTGTGGCCTATTTTGGTTTGGAACAAGTATTTTGTGAGTATTTGCTGATAATGGAAGATATAGTAGTTGAAATTACCTTGAGGGGCCTGCATTGTGACATAGCAAGTAAAGTTGCTTTCTGCAACACCATGATACCATATGAGCAGTTCAAGACCTGACTGCTCCACTTCCAATCCAGCTGCCTGCTAATGCGCCTAGGAAAGCAGAAGATGCCACAGTAGTAAGGGAAGAAGAACCTGGTTCAGCCTGACCCAGCCCCAGCTGTTGCAGCTGTTTGAGGTGTAAGCAAGCAGAGTGGAAGGCCTCTTTCTCTGCAACTCTTTCACATAATAAAATAACTAAATCTATAAAAAAAGAAATTACTTTAAACATAAAGTAATCAACATAGCCACAAAATCTTGGTTTGTTGTTAAAAGATTCAAATCAGCAGTTCTAAATGTGTGGACCACAGTCTTTACAAAAAGTCTTCTAATAACATGCAAATAATTAGTAACCTGCATTATATATACATTCTGTTAGAATATTGTACTGCTGTTGTTCAAACATATGTGTTGTTATGAATAAGAATTGTTAGTGTTATTGAATTTTTAGCAGTTCCACCATTATGTGTTTTCCGAGTCTATGACTAATAAAAGTCAAAAGACAGTATTGTAGGATTCTGCTGTATCTTTATAACTCCATTAATGAAAAAAAAAATTAGTCTCTAGGGGCCAGCACTGTGGCACAGCAGGTTAAGCCACCATCTGTAGCTCTGGCATTCCATAGGAACGCCTCTTCGAGTCCCTGCTGCTCGACTTCCAATCCAGCTCCCTGCCAATGTACCTGGGAAACAGAAGATGCCTCAAGTATCAATGCCCCTGCACCCACGTGAGAGACCTGGATGAAGCTCCTGGCTATGGCTTCAGTCTGGCTGAGCCCCAGCTGTTGTGGCCATTTGGGGAATGAACCAGCAGATGGAAGATCTGAATCTCTCCTTCTCTCTCTGTAACTCTTTCAAATAAATAAATCTTTTTAAAAATCTCTGGGTAGAGCAATAGAAAGAAACATGAATCAGAAAGGATGTACATCAATTGATTCCAATAGTGATCTTTGTTTCCCTTCTTACAATGTTTGTATGTTTTCTAATCTTTTATGATAGTCACATACTACTTCTACAAATCCTTCTCACCAAACATATCTATATATATCCATACATATGTTGTGTAGGTATATTCCCCAGAAAAAGAATTTTCAGGAGGTAAACATGCATCATATCTTGACAATCAAGGAAACTTGCAAGCCATTAATTAAATGAGAGCATGAGTTTAGTTTCCCTAGTATGTTCCAAGAATCTGAGCTGTCATATTTTGTGAATTTTCAGTCATTCTGTAACATAAGTGACTTCATTTGAAGCTTTCTAATAACAGTATAAATGCTGGTAATTGGCTTTTGGGAAGAACAGAATGCATTAAGACCCAATTTCTGAATGTTTTATAACAAAATAACACATTGTAAAGCTGCTGAATATGACTGTCAGAGTTCAGTCTGTAGTGGCCAAATGGGTATGCACTTGCCATCAATTGTCAGAATCGATTCTCAGATGTCAGAAATGGTTAATTCTATTGAAAAAGATAGCTGCTTCCAACAAACAGTTATTAAATTCCTCCTAAGAAACACCACTTCTCTTTTTGATGCTTATATTCCCTACAAACTATGAATTCCTACAACATTTGCAAATAGGGATCTCATTATTACTCCAACAAACAAACAAAAAGCAAATAGTGAAGACAATGAATGCTTTTATGAAAACTTCTAACAATAACAGCACCATTTTTCCCTGGAAGCCCTGTTAAAGTGGCCACTGCTATCTCACGGGGGCTATGATTGCTGTAAATACCACCAGTGGCTGTGTGTTGCCTTGTCTAAGCCTAGGTTGGCCAGTTTCCAGCAACTCCCTTCTGGGTACTTTTACTCTGACCTGACCCTCATTTTGAAACATGTTCTTGTGTTGTAGCAGTTGTGTACTGTTAAAGAACATATCCTTTCTTTGTCTCACTATAGAAGTAACAAACATAGCTCTCATTCAGTTGACAGCAACAAAAAGCATTTCACCTTGTATAAAGTGTCTCTACTCAGAAATTTGAAATATTCATACAGAAAAGGATGTTTCTTCTAAAAGTGCTTCTGTCGACATAATTCATTTGCTAGGGCATGAAGACTCTTAGAATTCATATCATTTGACTAAACTTGTAATGGATATTCCAGAATGAAAAGTATTATATCTTTAAATCATTTCACATTTATGATAAAACAGAAAATGCAGTGTTGATTAGAAAAATTTAATCAAGAAGTTAGGTTAAAATTGAAAACTATTTTAAAGAGTTTAATTTCATTTTGTATTACTTATTCAAGAAGATTAGAAAGACTATTATTTGTATTTTATAATTCACTAGTTCCATTAAACAAATATAATTTTTTTGAGAAACTGGGACAGGAAAGTAGTATGGAGCAAGAACAAAGTAAAGCATATTCCTGGCTTTAGAGCTGACAGTTCATACTGTATTTTCCTGATTCTTAGATTCTTACTGCTTCCATATTTAAATAAATCCAAATGCATACGTTAGAAAAAATATTTTTAATCACTTGTGCATCTTACTTGGCTTCTTCCTCTCCTGCATCTGATGATTTAGAAATAGGAAACCAGAAAGTCAATGCCACTTAATGCCATGGGAATGTTCTGAATTTCAGTGAGAGAAAAAGAGTACATGAGCAAGGTCTTAAGAAAGTCTTATTCAACATGAGATTATTTATTTGACTGCCATGCTCTAAATGAATAAGTGTTTCTGCTCCCAAGAGAAATTGACATGTGTCCTTAGGACTCCATGCAAGAGAATGATAGAGAAAGACTAAATTAAGAAAGTTGTGAAGATGTTGTAGTGCCAGTTTATTTTTTCTTAAAATAATGTTAAAAATGTTAAACAGGCATTGTGGTGCAGCAGATTAAGCTACGGCTTGGGATGTCTACCTCCTATATTGGAGTTCCTATTCAAGTCTCACTACTCTGCTTCTGATCCAGCTTCCTGCTGATGCTCCTGTGGAGGCAGCAGAAGCTGGCCCAAGTACTCGGGTTCCTGTCCCCCTCATGGGAGGTTCAGCTAGAGTGCCAGGCTCCTGGCTTCAGCCTGGGCCACCCTGGCTATTGCGGGCATTTCGGGAATAAACCAGTGGATGGAACAAGTTTTTCTCTCTCTATCTCTCCCTCACTCTCTGTCACTCTACGTTTCAGATAGAAAAAAAAAAAAAAACTTAAATAGATATATTAAATAGCTCTTCATTGTAAAGCTAAAAGAATTTCCCGTAGGCTGTCGACTTATTCTGTACTCTGGAATCTATAGCCAAGGACTTGCTATCCAATGGTATTGTGCACCTGGAATGTGGCTAGTGCAATTGAGGACTGAAATTTTTTAATTAATTAATTTATTTTCATAGACAAGGTGACACAAAAATCTCCCATCATACCCCAAATGACGAAAACAGATACAAGGCAGGATTAGGCCAGGCCTAAGCCAGGAGCCAGGAGCCAGAAACTCAATCTAGGTCTCTCATATGGGTAGCAGGGATCTAACCATTTGAACCATCACCTGCTGCTTCCCAACAAGCATATTAGCAGGAAGCTGGAATCGGAAGTAGGTTGAAGACTCAACCCCAGACATGCTGAATGACATTTAGATATCCCATCTTTTCTTAACCTTACACCAAACACCTATGCTTGAATTTTAATTGTACTTAATTTTAAGCAATTGATGCTTCCATTCAAAAATGGAAATACTATAATTTTCTATATTACTACATGTTAAAAGGGTAATATTTTTCTATATTAAGTTAAATAAAATGATTTACTAAAATTCTTCTCAATTGATTCTTTACTTTCTTTTTATTTTTTACTTGAAAGATAGGGTGACAGAGAGGGAGACGAAGAGGGAGAGAGAGAATCTTCTATCCACTGGTTCATTTCTTAAATGCCCACAACAGCCAAACAGCCAGGGCTAAGCCTATCTGAAACCAGAAGCCCAGAACTCGATGCAGGACTCCCACAATCATGGCAGGGACCCAACCACTTTGAGCTCACCTGCTGCCTCCCAGAATGTGCACTGGCAACAAGACCAATAGGAGCCAGAGGAGGGATTCAAGCTGGCGCTCCAGTATGGGATGCTGGCATCCCAAGCAGTGGCTTAACTCGCTGCACCACAACAACCACTCTTTTTAATGCAGTTACTAGAAAATTTTAATGCTATATGAGGCTTGCACTTTATTAGTATTGAACCAGCACCAGTCTAGGGACAAAAACAAAGCTTTCTTTTCTTGATTACTCAACATTTCAAATAAAACATGCCACCTGATCCACAGTTCCCCTTGTCCTGCAGTAGAAGACTTTTTGGTTGCAAGTGACAGAAGTCTAGTTCAAGCCGGCGCTGCGGCTCACTTGGCTAATTCTCCACCTGTGGTGCTGGCACCCTGGGTTCTAGTCCCGGTTGGGGCACCGGATTCTGTCCCGGTTGCCCCTCTTCCAGTCCAGCTCTCTGTTGTGGCCCAGGAGGGCAGTGGAGGATGGCCCAGTGGAGGATGGCCCAGCTGCTTGGGTCTCGCATCCGCATGAGAGACCTGGCTCCTGGCTTCGGATCAGTGTAGCACACTGGCTGTAGCGGCCTTTGAGGGGTGAACCAACGGAAGGAAGACTTTTCTCTCTGTCTTTCTCTCTCTCACTGTCTAACTCTGCCTGTCAAAAAAAAAAAGTTAAAAAAAAAAAGAAGTCTAGTTCAAGTGGTTTTAAGAAAAAATAAGAATGTTGGGGCCAGTGCTGTGGTGCAGTGGGTTAAACCTTGGCCTGAAGCGCCAAGCATCCCATATCGGTGCCGGTTCTAGTCCTGGCTGCTCCTCTTCTGATCCAGCTCTCTGCTATGGTCTGGGAAAGCAATAGAAGATGGTCCAAATGCTTGGGCACCTGCACCCACATGGGAGACTCGGAAGAAGCTCCTGGCTCCCGGCTTTAGATTGGCTCAGCTCCAGCCGTTGCAGCCATCTGGGGAGTGAACCAGTGGATGGAAGACTTCTCTCTCTGTCTCTACCTCTCTCTGTAACTCTTTCAAATAAATAAAATAAATATTTAAAAAAAAAAGAATAAGAATGTACTGGCTCATCAAATGAAAAAAAGAGAAATGTGGTTCAGACACAGTTGGAAGCAGGAGCTCTGATGATGTCTTTAGAACTTAGTCTCTCCTCTTGCTCTCCCTCTGCTTTGCTCACTGTGGCATACTTCTTTTGCTGCTAACTCCTCACTGTGATCCTTAGGAGTATCAGATTTGCATGTTTCTTAGAGGTAGCCAGTTACTGCAAAAGTAGAGCTTAACGTTTCCAGAAATAAGTGTTACCAGCTGGCTTGAATCATGTGTGTCTCTTTGCACTGAACATTGTGGCAAAGGGAACAGATTAGACTTATTCACCAGACATTGGTCACACGCTTACATCTACCTTGTTATAAGAGATAAATCAAGGTTGGTACCTCCGGTGGGCTGAAACCAAGGAAGGGCTTGTTCCTCAAAGGAAAAAAGCATGAGACTTTCTACCACAAGAAAGAGACTCAGTAACGGGTAAGAAAAAAAGCAGAGATACCCAAAAGACCTCATTGTGCACACTCACAACATGTTAGTCTGTCTTTCTTCACCATAGGATATATTTGGTGCTCTTCATTTACTTACCGATGTCTCTTTCTTTCTGCTTCCCCTGTTTGTGCTCCTTCATCAAGCCCTCTTCCAACCTTTCCAGTTTGTGTTCCCAAATAGGACATCACATGCAACTCTATAAATGTGATACTATCTCTGTCTTCCCTGCCTTTTCCAATTTGCCCCACCCTTCCAGACACCCTTGAGTTCCCACCCATCCTTTGAGTCTTGGGGAAATCTTCATGTTTCTAAGGCAATCTGGATTTCCTCTAGCCCAGAATGTCTTCTATAATTTTCTACCTCTGTGTTTCTTCTGAACCTGTACATCTTCTAATACATCAGATTTACATGTATGATTTGATTGTGTGACAGGACTAACGTAGAATTTATTTAAGATTTATTTCTTGTTTAGGTTACTTATCCATTTTAAAAACAAATTTATTTATTTATTTTAAAATGCAGAAAAACAGATAGAAGACAGACAGACAGAGAGATCTTCCATCTGCTGGTTCACTCTGCAAGTACCCACAACAGCCAGGTCTGGGCCAGGCTGAAGCCAGGACTCTGGAGCTCCATCAGGATCTCCCATGTGGTGGTGAGGGACACAACTCCTTGATCCATCACATTCCGCCTCCAAGGCTGGGCCTTAGCATGAAGCTAGAATAGTGAGCAGAGGTGAGAAACCACATACTCTGATCTAAAATGTAGGCATCCTAAGCATTGGATGTCATAACCCTCAGCCAAATAGCTGCCCACTAATGTAGATCTTAAGTAAGATCTGCAAGGATGGTCTATTAAAAGGATACATTTTGGGGGGCCGGCATCAAGGGGTAGTGGGATAAGCTAACGAACATAGCACTGGCATCCCATATGGGCACCAGTTTGTCTCTCAGCTGCCCCACTTCCTGTCCAGTTCCCTGCTAATGTGCCTGGAAATGTAGCTTGGGTTCCTACATCCTCATGGGAGTCCTGGAAGAAACTCCTGGCTCCTGGCTCCAGTTTGACCCAGCCCTGGCTATTTTGCCCATTTTGGGGGTGAATCAGCAGATGGAAGATCTCTCTCTTTCCATCTTGTCCTCTGTCACTGTAACTCTGCCTTTCAAATTAATAGAATAAATCTTAAAAAAAAATACATCTCAGTTGATATAATGAAAGGATTATCTAGAGGTGTTGGCATGATTAGGAGTCAACGCAAGTATGGTAGTGCACCTAGAGATTAGCAGTGGTGGGAAGCTATTACTACCCTGAGACTTGAAAGACAAGGAAGAGCTGTGTTGCTGGAATCTAGTCAGAGCTCTGACTGAGAAGGAGGGGCAGAGGGAGAGGAGTCATGGCTGTGTGCCTGTAGATACAGGAATGTAGCCAAATCGTGCCCTGACAGGGTGAAGGGGTTATAAATAAATATTCCAATCTCTCTTCTTTATGTCATGCTGGTACCTCCATTAGCCAAAGTCAACCAGCAAGAAGAGGGCAAAAGAGCCTAATGGAGTGGTGGGTAGAGGTCACTATATTGACAAAAGAGCAGGGAAGGACAAAACAAATAAAGAAAAACTGCACAGTGTACTTCTTTTAAAAAAATATTTATTTGGAAAACAGAGAGACAGAAAGATACAAAGAGACAAAGAGGGAGAGATGTTCCATCCACTGGTTCACTTCCCAAATGACTGCAACAGCCAGTGCTGGACAAGGATAAAGCCAGGAGCCAAGAACTCCATCTGATTCTTCCATGTGAAGAGCAGGCACCCAAGCACTAAGGCCATCTTCCACTGCTTCCCAGGTACATCAGCAGGAAGCTGGATGGGAAGCAGAGTAGCCAGAACTCAAATAGACACTGTAATATGGGATTCCACTGCACCACAACACTAGCCCCACTTTTTCGTTTTGTATTCTTAGCACTTCCCACAGTTCCTTATGGAAGGCTGATGAAAAATCTTCTCCTATATTCCTAGGTTGTTTAATTCACTTCTGTTAATGAATACATATTATTTTATGCATAAATATCTGCAATTTTTTTTTTCAAATAAATTCAGAAACTAGAATTGTTTGGTCCAATGTGTATTCTAAAATTACAATTGTATATTATCAGCACCATAGTTATCAGGAAGTACATTCTTCCTGTTCCTTTACCCATGGTAGACAATTAATCTTCACAGCACCCCAGTAAACTTGGTATTCTCACCTCCTTTTATAGATATACAGACTGAGGTTCAGAGACATTTGGGGATGGTCAGATGATGCTCTTGTTTCCATTCCCTGACTACACAAAAACAAACAGAAAAATTATGATTGTTAAAATATTGATACCATTTCTATAGTAAGTTAAAAATAAAATCTGTGAACCTGAGGTACTTTTGTCACCACTGAGCTGTGAAGATAGCAATTGGAATATTGTTACTTTATTCAATAAATGAGATCCATTTATGTTTTGTGTATACGTTATAAACAGCCTGAACATAATTTTAGACAACATTTCTAGTGTACCTGCATTCTGACTACAACCTGTTATATGACAGAAGGTTTGGGATTTGCCACTTGCAACATCTTGTTGGCACTTAAAAAGTTTCAGATTTTGGATGTTTGAGTTAGGTATGCTCAACCTGTAATAGCAAAAAAAAAAAAAAAAGGATAAAAAAAAGAAAGAGGAAAAAAGAGAATAAAGAAATGGAGAAAAGTACATACAAAGATGAAAATAATGGAAAATACAGAAACTGTATTATTTTTCCAATCGGGATGATGTTTTGAAGTTCTAAATGTGAAGTATGACTACTGCTATATTATTACCTTTCTTTCTCAAAATATTCTTTCATACTAAAACTATGCTCAATATAATTAAAAAGAAGATATGGGAGCCATGTTTGGCTACGTGTTAAGATGCTACTTGGGACACCCACGTGGCCTTGGAGTGCCTTGGTTGGAATCTTGGCTCTGCTTTCAGTTCCAGCTTCCTGCTAGTATATGATGGCTCAAGTGCTTGGGTCTCTGCTGCCCACACAGGAGACCTGCCTTAAAGTTACTGGCTTCAACCTATTGTAGCACCAGCTGTTTGGAACTGGACCAGCATGTGAAAGATCTATCTCTGTCTTGCTGCCTTTGAAAAGGTAAAAATAAATTATTGAAAATATTTTAAATAAAAGGCATTTTCTTGTATGAGTATTAGATTTACTAAGTTAAATTATTTTAATGAAATATATGACATAATGTACACACATGTTATGAAACTTCTAACACATGTTTAAATTATTTTTTCTTCAAAGTGTGTATCCCTTGGCCCATAGCAGTAACTAACACCTTGCTAACTGAATTCAATCCTGAAGTTAACGATAAGCCAATAGAAGTGAGCTCCACTAAAGTTCACAATGTGATCTCAAAAACCTCTACCCCACTGAAAGGAGCCAGGGTCCTTCGGGGAAACGGATGATTTCACATCTGAGGCAGGAAATGCACCAAGTTAGCCTAGTTATCTTGGTGTGCCAGAAAGCAAGAACATTATCAAAGTCTATTAAGGTCATCTCAAAAGGTTACAGAAACCAACATGAAAGGTCCTAAAAGGGATGATAGAAGACTGGAACATCATCAAAAAGAAGAAACAAGGGAAAAATGAATGATTGGACTGCATGGAAACAGGACGTTCTTCTAACCCCACAAATCAATAAAAAGCTGACAATTATTCAAGAAACAAATGTCTGGAACGAATGAACAGGCAATTCACAAAACAGGAAATATAAGGGGGGGGCACAACATTAAAATATGTACAATCTCCATAGTAACCAGGGAAATGCAAATTTTAATATCAAGACACTACTTTTGTTCATCACATATGCAAATCTTTAAAAGTTTTATGATATCAAATACCAGCAATAGTATGGAAAAACAGGAAATGTGGGAGGCTTAAATTGGTAAAGTCTTTTTTGATTGGAAAATTTGGCAGTAACTATTACCCTCTTCTGGCCCAGTAATTTCATTTTCCTTTATCTACCTAAGAGAATGACTTGTGCATACCTTGCTGTTTTTTTTAAAGATTTATTTATTTGAAAGGAAGAGTTACAGAGAGGCAGAGGCAGGGGCAGGGGGAAGAGAGATAGAGAGATTTTCCCTCCACTAGTTAACTCCCTAGATGGCCACAATGGCCAGAGCTGGGCCGATCCAAAGCCAGGAGCTTCTTCCGGGTCTCCCACGTGGGTGCAGGGGCCCAAAGATTTGGGCTATCTTTTACTGCTTTCCCAAGCCATAGCAGAAAGCTGGATCAGAAGTGGAGCAGCCGGGACTCGAACCAGTGCCCATATGGGATGCCAGCAGTGCAAGCAGTGGCTTTACTCACTATGGCATAGCACTGGCCTCTTGTGCATACTTTTAAAGGGGCATTTGGCCAGGGCCATGGCTCAATAGGCTAATCCTCCACCTGTGGTGCCAGCACACTGGGTTCTAGTCCTGGTCAGGGCGCCAGATTCTATCCCGGTTACTCCTCTTCCAGCTCTCTGCTGTGGCCCTGGAAGGCAGTGGAGGATGGCCCAAGTGCTTGGGTCCTGCACCCACATGGAGACCAGGAGAAACACCTGGCTCCTGGCTTCAGATCAGTGCGGTGCACTGGCCGCAGCAGCCATTTAGGGGTGAACCAACAAAAAAAGGAAGACTTTTCTCTCTGTCTGTCTCTCTCTCATTGTCCACTCTGCCTGTCCAAAAAAAAAAAAAAAAAGGCATTTATGATGCTGTTGACTGACCACATTATTTTTAATTGTGAAGAGGCTTATCAAATTCATAAAGTGGGGGAATTAGACATATGCCAATTAGTTCAAAAGAATGTCTTCGGAAAACTTGAAATGATAAGTTTAAAAAATGGCATGATGTCATTTATATTAAAATCTCACAAAATTATTTAATTTCATGCATGTCTTGTATGTAGGTATGTAATTACAGAGGAAACAGATCTGCAGAGATGAACATCAAACTGATAGCACTGCTTATCTCTAGGGAGAATTGCATTAGAGGGAATTAAGAAGGACTTTTGTTGTATCTATTTTTTCATTCCCAAAGCACCAAGAGGTATTTTTTATGATCGTCTCATAATCCTATTATGTGATCATTTAAAGGCTCAATTTATTACCGAGGCAACAGGGCTCAGAAATAAATGACTGACTTACCCATGCTAGACAATACTAGAGTGGAAAATCAATTCTGTTACCCTTCCAGCCTCCATGTAAACTCCTCTAGATCCCAAATAAGAATGATTCAGTATTTTGCAATGGTCAGAAATTCTCTATACAGGTATCCAGGTTGGAAACATACGTTTGGGAGCAGTAAGTGTTTGCCAGTTGAAATCTTAGAACTACATTGAGGAGGCCAGTAAAGCTATCGCTTGCAGTGCTGGCATCCCATTTGGTCACCGGTTTGCATCCCAGCTGCTTCACTTCCAATCCAGCTTTCTGCTAAGGCCTGGGAAAGCAGTGGAAGATGGCCCAAGACCTTGGCCCCTGCACCCACATGGGAGACCTGGAAGAAGCTCCTGGCTCCTGGCTTTGGATCAGCACAGCTCCGACCATTGTGCCAATTGGGGAGAGAACTAGTGGATGGAAGACCTCTCTCTCTCTCTCTGTCTCTCTCTGCATCTCCTCTTCTCTCTGTATAACTCCAACTTTCAAGTAAATAAATAAATCTTTAAAAAAAAAAAAAAAGAAATACATTGAGGAGTTGGTGGAGTAAGAAGAGAAGGTCTAGAACAAAATCCTGAGAAACCAGAACACTAGTTGATGAACACTGTTAAAGAATCCTATAAGTAAATTTAAAAAAAAAAAAATGTTGCTACAAATCAGAAAATGTGGGTGTGGCCAAGAAACCAAGTACAGAGTGCCCTTCCAGGAGGAGGAAGTGGTCAACAGTGCCAAACGCTGAAAAGAGGTCAGGAAGGAAGGCCTTAACGTGTCACTTTGATAACAAAGAGATCATTTAGTGACTTTGGCAAGAGAGTCTTGGTGCATAGAAAGAAGCAGAATCCTGAATGCAAAAGGAAGAACTATAAGGAAGAGAGTTATACTAAACAGTACGTGGTTCCTCAAAGATTTAAATGTAGAATTATCATATCTCCAGTTCCATTTCTGGGTATATACCTAAAAGGACTGAAGCAACTCAAGCACACTGATAGTTCAATGGATAAACAAATGCTCGATGCACATACACTGGCATATTATTCAGCCCTAAAAAGGAAGGAAATTCTTACCCATGCAACAGTGTTGTTGAGCTTAAGTGAAAAAAGCCAAACAGAGAAGAACAAACCATGTAGGATTCCACTTATAAGAGAAACATGGAATTGTCAGATTCACAGAGACAAAAATAGCATGTTGGTTGCCAGGGGCTGAGGCTTGGTTGGAGTTAGGAAGTTATTGTTTATGGGTACATAGTTTCAGTCCAGAAGGAGAAGAAAGTTTGGTTGGTAAATGGTGATCATGGTTGCACAGCTATGTGAATTGGCTTAATGCTTCTGAACTATACACTTAAACATTATTAAGGAGCGAGCATTTGGACCAGTGGTTAAAATCCTACTTGGGATGCATTCCATATCATTACACCTAAGTTTATGTCCCAGCTGCTCCCAATTCCACCTTGCTAATGTGCAACCTGGGAGGCAGTAAGTGATGATTGAAGTAGCTGGGTCCCTGCATGTGAAAGACCTAAACTTAGTTCCTTCTCCTGGCTTTGATTTGTATCAACCTTGATTGTTGTGGGAAGTGAGCCAGCAAATGAGAGTTCTGTCTCTGTCTCTGACTCCTTCTCCCTTGGTGTCTCTGCCTTTCTAATAAAATAGATAAATAAACATTTAAATGGTTAAAATGGTAAATTTTGTGCTTGAACACACACAAGAAAGACAAGGACTCAGTCATTATTGAAGACTTCTTCAAAAATTTCAGAGGAAGGAAAAGAAAGCAGTAGGGCAAGTCAGACAGAGGAGAAATTTTTTTTAAGATACTGGATCTCTGCACTTATTTATTACCCTGTAAAGGATACATAGAGAAGCAAAGATGCACATCCACCATTCAGGTAATAGGGACACAAACCTCCAGATACTGAGTGCCATGCTTCTAGAAGGGAGCCTGTATCTTTGGGTCTCTTTGGGGCTGAACGAGCCTAGTGTTTTATAATGACACTCAAATATAATAGTATTTAAAATTTATCCAAACAAATAGCAGTCTTAGTTGCATCAATAACTTTTTCTTCAAGGATTTTTCTTTAAGTATTTCACTAAAAAATCAAAATCAAATTTGATGACTCTCAAGGTTGTGGTTACTGTTACTTGTGCTTTTCATGTTTTGTGTGTGTGTATGTGTGTATTTTTGGTAGAAACAGCTTGCTTTATTTCTTTATTTGTTTATGTGACAGTCAGAGAGAGAAACAAACACAGAGAGAAAGACCTTCCATCTGCTAGTTCACTCTTAAAATGTCCACAACTATGGCTGGGCCAGGCCAAAACCAGGAGCCAGAAGCCAGGCATTCAGTCTAGGTCTCCTACATGAGTGGCAGGGACCCATGGATTTGAGCTATTACCAGCTGCCTCCCATGGCATGCATTAGCAGGAAGCTATAGCCAGTACTAGAGCGGGGATTTGAATCCAGGTACTCTGATATGAGATGCAGGAGCCCCAAGTGGCATCTTAACATGGTTTGGAATGCTGACTCCAAGGAAGCAGCTTTCTTACAATTTGTTTTTGTTTTTATTTCCTATAAATTCACATTAAATATGAGTTTAGGTGAAATAGAAACTTATAGCATTCTAATTATCCTCTAAGTACTCTTTATTGTACCTTTGGATATCCGGTTAAATAAAAAGCAAAACCGTGATACCCTGAGAGCATGATAATTTCTAAAACTCAGAAAGTGGTTCTTGCAATGTGCGGAGGATTGCATAATTACTATTTTTCTTGCAGTCCACCCCCTTCCGTTTCCCCAATGAGCAAGAAGGGTGGAGCAACTGCGACACAAAAACTTAAGACTATCCAGTGGCTTCTGTAATCTGGCAACTTGAACCTGGGAGAAATGTATATTAGGGATATTCAACAACTTTGTGGGCAAAGAGTATTATGAAAAAACTATGTGTGGATTTTAAAATTTTTAAATATTTCATAATAAACATATCTTTTATTTCCATTTTCCCAAAACTTTTTAAAGTACCTTTGTATCTATCTGAAGTTGCTAGCCATATTTGCTTTGTTCCACTGTTTATGTCCTCTTTCTACTGTTGCCCCTATTGTCCTTTAAATATTTTCATTTAGTGCTCCAACCTGGAAGATATTTGACCAGTTCAGTGCTCAGCCTGGTAGGCTCTGCACCTGTGTTTTACTCTTGGGGCTGCAGTTGTGAGAGACTATTGCTCGGGGATAGGTTAACAGTTTCAGTTTTGCAAGGCTTTATCTATAAGTAACAGACAACTATTCATGAGAAAGGAAGCATAAGACTTGTAGGTAGAAAACCACGGCCCAAATTCCAGGAAAACACTCATTTACTAAACCTTTTTTTCGCTCTAAGTTGCCTACAGTCATATTAGAATTTAGGTCATATTCCAAAGACTTTATATTAATTAGACATTACTATAAAAGCAAGTTTATTCCTCGCATATAAGCGCCACAGTTTTCTTCAACATAGAGCAGGATTTTTTGTTTTTCTATGACTCTCATTTATTTAGTAACACAGGAGATATTTTCTTATGTAAATGAGCATAATTTATTTCAAGTATAAGTTTTGATATCTTTTCTAAAATTTTCCTGTACATATAAATATGTGTATACATTAATTATATTTGTATACAAGCACAAAATATAGCTTGCTATCATGATTCCAAGTGTAAGCTTTTGAATAGTTTTCCATTCTCTGTAGAATTTATAAAGCATAATGACTCTGGTGTTTCACAACTTCCTCTTTTGGTGCACTATCCTTTTACAGGGAGGGAAAAAAAATAATGTGGCCAGAAAAGAGAGTCTAGCAGAGAACAGAGCACTTTGAGGTGCTGGCAGTTTAACTGAACCAATGAAGCAGCTTAACAAGCAACTATAAATAAGGCATAGAGGTAAGCAATGCTGTTTGATATTTTTTCATTTATTATTTGGATTGTTATCTATATACCAACAATTTAAATGTTGGCCACACTACAAAGTAGACTAGAGAAATCTAACATTTCTCTCGAGAGTAGTCAATATTTGAAATGAAAAATTCAATACATTTAAAGTTTCAACCTCACAAACAACCTTTTTAAAAGCTATAAAGAAAGCTTTTAAAAAGATGAAAAAAGTTCTTATTGATCTCCCAATTATTTTACCTGTAAAATCAAACACCCCCTTTCATATGCAATTTTACATGCAACTTTGTGCTACAGAAACTTCTGGATTAATAATAAATTTGAGAACCTTCTTCTTTTTCAAATAGTTTTCTTTTTGCATAATATTGTTTGACACTTTCCAAGAAAAAGAAAATTTTTGTATTTGCTTTTACCTAGGTGAAACTATATTGTGTTATTTTAAATGTGATATTTCTATACTATTTTTCATATCAGCACAATATACTTAAATTTGGAAAAATATAATTTATAGTATAGCTAGCATGACTTAAAAGTCTAAATAAGTAAAGCTAATTTTAGAAACTCATCATTCGCTTAATAAGATTAATTTTTATTTTCAATGCTTAAAATGTAGAACTAAAGCAAAGACCATTTAAATTGATAATAAAAAAATTAAACTAAGTGGAAATTTATCCTTTAATGAAATTCTAAAATAATCTAGAAGCAATAGAAAAAAATTTGTTGTTTCAGCCAATCTAGAATAATGGTACACATATTAACCGTATTCAATAGGATTATATTCATAAGATCATAAGATAGCAATTTTTAAATCTTCCTTTTAAAATCCATTGCTTGCTTAGACTTTGGTAAAATCATCCCATATGTTTAATTTAGTACAGCTTTAAAAGTGCATTTTAAATGAACTAGTCTGGTTTTATACGTAATGACGTTCAGGTAGTTTGCCTGTAAGTACTTTTATAACTTTCATAACTCAGAGTACTTTTTGTAAATTAACCATATTGAGAATTTGCCACACATTACACATTTGTATGAGATTTGGTAAAACAGATATCCCAAGTAATATATTTGATTGCTTATTTAATTTTGGCTTATATTTCAGACAAGTCTCATGACTTCCCCAAAAGAAAGTCTTATTTCAACAGTTAACGGATTTGTTTTGTAACTTTAGGACACAATAATATCATGCTGATTTAATTGTAGTATTTAGTGACCGCTTGTCTTCTTAAACTATTTTCTGCAATTCTCTATATCAATACATGCTGTCATAACTATCGGGAGAAGAGAAAGATACTATTACTGTTATAAATTTGGAAAATGAATCCTTGACTCAATTTAACATCCTTAAGCCAATCAAATATTTTAAATTGATAGTTGTAAGAGATTCATTAAAATTGTGCATCTTTATGGATCTCACGCTAATTAAACACAACTACTTTAATCAGAATTTGGTTTTGCTATTTGCAACAATACCATTTTTTGATACCCCTCTTCTCTCTTTTTTAAAAAGATAGAAGCATTTTTAATTTCTATGGGTATGACATGAATAATGTAATATTACACTAAGTAGATAAAAACCACTAGAAAACATAGCCCATAGAAATTAGTTTAACTTGGTCATCATTGTAATTCAGAACTGCAAACGAAAGCCAAAGAAGTAGGAAAAAATGCCATTTTCTTGCAAGATAGCCTTGTTGATTTCATTGCTGTTGTTTTTGTTATTATTGAGAATTACTAAAGTCTGAATGACCGATTCAGTGACAGATTATGAGAAATAAGTTTAAAATTTCTTCTTTCTTTGAGAAAATTCTATTTACAAAAGAAAAAACAGTGCTTATCCGAGGGGGTTTTTATGAGACATGCAGATTGCTGAAGGAGAATGTTTGTGTCATGATGAGAATGGCAGGATACATTACATGTATTTTTTATTTCACATACTGTCATTTTAACAAACCATTCAGAGCTGGTTACAAAAGCCCAGAATTTTAAAGTGAAATTAGATATGAACGGTCATAAAAAGGATAATGGAAAATTCACATTATGAAAAAAACTATGAGTGGATTTCAAATTTTTCCAACAAAATAAATGTCTTTTAATTTAATTTTACCATGAAGCTTTTTGAAGTATCCTCATTTAATATTATAAATAATTTATAGCAAGATAGATGAATTTTGACTTTTGAAGTATAGATATATTTTACTGTTTCAATAGATTATATTCATGTAACACTTATGTAAGACAGACATTTTTACTGACTCTAAGAAGTGCTAAATGTGGATGGCTACAGAATCATAAAATTTGGTCTTTGCCTTAATAAAGAATGGTTGGCTTTGTGGGTGACATGTGGGTGACCTGTTGGGAGTCGCCAGACCTGATCTTGATAATAATCTCAGTTAAGTGGGTATCTCTGCCTCCTCTTAGACGACCTTCTCAAAGTGTCCATCTGTAGAAAGGAAGACTTGGTTACAGAGTGCTCTATTTCACCTTAACGAAGGACAACTACACTATTTAATTTCACTTGAAAACAATGCTATTTGTGACACAAATTACTGAATTTCCAAAAGAACATTGAAATATTTTCTTTTTCTTGATTGTTTTGTCTATTCTTCTTTTGATTGTTTTTCCATTTGCAAGAATAAAGAATATTTGTTGCCTGAAAGAAAAATTATGGTTTGGGTGCAAACTAAGAGACTGACATGTTTTGAATTCAAAAAGAAAACCTTCTATATCTAGCCAATAAGGGTCTTCCAGACCTTTAAAAGTATTTGCATCCTCCTACATCTATTGACTTTCTACTTATTTTTAATGAAGCCAACTTTCATATAAGTGTCATATGTGGCATATATGTATTTATTATATTAATGAAAATACGTGCTGATACTTGAGAAAACTCTTGTATTTGCAAAAATAAGCGTGATTACCGTGCATGTGCTCTCAAGATAGATTATGTATTTCATTTTCATAGAAGAAATAATTTGTGCATATATAAAGGATAAGGACAAGCCATTTTACATTTCTATCAAAGCAAACAATTGAAATGCAGTATAGTTTATACATCTGCACTATATAAAACAAAAATATCATTTGCTAATTTCTAATTTTTTATTGTCCATTTATGTTGTTTGAGAGTTACTGAAATATTTTTGTCATTTGTCTGACATCTTTGGCTTTTAAAATTATTTTTCATGAACTAAAATTAGGCACTTAGACTTGATGTTCTCAAATTTTCTTTCAGTTTTATTTTTCATCATTCTAAATTATTGAAAATAGTTTTAAAAATTTTATGTTTTATTTTAGTTACATTTAATATTTCCAATGAAAATATAATATTTGTATTGTTAAATCCAAATTTAGAGAAAAATAGCATTAGAATTTAATTTCCAATCACAGAAAATTGAACAGAAATGAAGCTGGCCTATTGGTGTTGCTCCATAAACCAACATAAAATTTTCCACCTTGCTATCATTCTGCTTTACAAATATTTCATTGTGAGCCATTTTTTAATATATAGTGATTATCAGAGTCTCAAAAATTCTTCTTACCTTGGGAGAAGAATTATCATTATAATTTTGACAAAATATCACCACAATTCTTACTCTGAAAAAAATTAAGATTAGTAGAATCTTAAAAGTACACTTTAATTCATTTTATTTATACTTTGCATAAAAAACAACTTTTCAGCTGGTTAGTTTTCTTCCCCTATGTTGGCGAGCAGAGCTAAACTGGAGCAGCTCCAGCATTCTCTGTGTAATGATGCTGCATCCTAAGTGAAATGAAATCAACAGAATATCTGATATCAACAGAATTTCTTAAATTCTCTTCAGAAACTCCTGTTCACATCATTTAATTTTATACATTTTTTATTTAGAAGTAATGCTCAAATAAGCTGCAAATAAGCTCAAATAAGCTGTAAATAAGCTCAAATAAGTTGTAAAAATAAAAATAGTACAACGAACACTCATATATCCTTACCCTCATTGGCCTAATCTTAATATTTTATCCCAGTTGCTTTATAATTTACTTTCATTCCTTTTTCCTACCCATCCTTCCTTCTGAATCCATAATTTTCTTTTCTGAACAACTCAAGGGTCAGTTACATACAATGTGGCCATTTACTTCAGGTGTGACTCCTTAGAAGAGAAATTATTTCTTACTACTTTAATATTCACATTTTGCTGCTAATCTAATATTATTTTTATAATATTTACCTCTCCAATAAATGATCCAGCCTAGAATCAATTTTAGTATTTTATTGCCATCTTTTAATTTTCTTTCAATAGCAAATAAAAACTGTACACTTATTGGGTGCAACACGCTGTTTTGACGTATGTCTACAATGTGGTATGGCTACATCAAGCTAATTAACATATGTATTGAACATATTTGTGGGGGGAGTCAGAATACTTAACATCTACTCTCAGAAACTTTCAAGAATGCAAGACATTGTTATGAACTATAGTCACTATGTTGTACTACAGACCTCCTGAATAATAATCTGGAATATTTTCACTTCATTTCATGAAGATTGTAAAGAATATGTTCTGTCCATCAACTCTTTTTTCTGTGCTTTCATTTTAACATCACCCATTTTGTCTGACATTTCCTCGTGATCAGATTGTGCTTATGCATTTTCTGCTAGTCTACTTACTGCGTAGGGGATACTGTTTCTTGCTTTTCGTTATCTAGAGGCACATTAGGCTCATTCGTCCTGCACTGATGATATTAACTTTTGTCACCTATCCATGATATTGTCTGACTTTCCCACTATATAATGACGACGGTTCCCCATCCATCCAAGTTTATCCTTGGGTTTGGCATTCATTGATGTTATCATCTAATGAGATGTTTACTATAATGGTTACAAATGCACGATTTTCCAACTCCAGCACTCCCTCCACATTACATCAGTCTTTCCTGTTCTACTGTAGGAAAATACTCCCTTCTCTCACATTTATTTAAGTATTGACTTATGTATTTATTTGCCATAGACTCACAAACTTCTATCTTTTTCAATGACACATTACTCATGTCTGTCTGAATTATTTTGGGATCAAATTTGTACACATTTGACCAGGAGAGTGCCTTTATTCTGGATTCCATATCCTCGTTAGATACTCCTATCTTATTAGTGGGCTCTTTCTATCTCCCTTCCTTTCCTGTCCCCCTTTTTTTATTTGAAAGACAGAGCTACAGAGAAAGGGAAAGAGAGAGATGGAGTGGGGGAGAGAGAAAAAGAAGAGAGAGAAGAGAAAGAGAGATCTTACATCTGCTGGTTCACTCCCTAGCTGAGCCAGGCCGCCAGGAGCTTTCTCCAGGTCTTCCATGTGGGTGGAAGGGGCCTAAGTACCAGGATCATCTTCTGCTGCTTTCCGAGGCCATTAGCAGGGAGCTGAGTAGGAACTGGAGCAGAAGGGACAGGAACCAGCACCCATATGGAATGCCCAAATTGCAGACAGTGGCTTTACCTGCTGTGCCACAACACTGGCCCTGTTCTTTCTTTCTGAAATTAAAATGATACATTCTAGGCCAATCTGTCACCTAATTTGTTTTACCCCTGGAATCACTCCTCATTTCTTTAATAAGAAAAGATATTAGATACAAAGATCTGTTAGTCACATTGCCACTGGAATACTTTTCATTCTTGGCTCTTTCAATAGAAACATATTAATGTATATACTCATATACAGACACAATAAACATATATACACATCTATGTACAGACATATAAATATTAATATACATCCTTATATATACATACATACTTTGGATATCATGAGTTCATTCTGATACCTGCAGTTTCAAGCCATCCTCACAGGCTTTCTCCTTGGCTTTCTCCAGCCCATAATTGTAAGCTCCTTCTTCCACAATGTGAATCCTGCATCCTGAAGACATCACAGTTACTCAATTCTATAATTTATCTAGAAGTATTTCAAGTTTGCTTTGCCCAAATTATTACAATAAAAGTCTTCCAAAAAAGAGTTCAGGGTTTGTATGCATTTCTTCTCCCATACACCTATATCTTACCAAGTACCTTATAAATTACTTGGATGAATTCTTCTTTTCCTATCTCTCTCCCTTCCTCGCTCTTTCTTAGTTAGCTTCCATTCAAGGTGATCCCAAAACTCTCTTTATTTATTTTTTTGACAGGTAGAGTTATAGACAGTGAGAGAGAGAGAGACAGAGAGAAAGGTCTTCCTTCCATTGGTTCACTCCCCAAATGGCCAATACGGCCGGCGCTGTGCCGATCTGAAGCCGGGAGCCAGGTGCTTTCTCCTGGTCTCCCATGTGGGTGCAGGGGCCCAAGCACTTGGGCCATCTTCCACTGCCCTCCTGAGCCACAGCAGAGAGCTGGACTGGAAGAGGAGCAACCGGGACTAGAACCCAGCGCCCATATGGGATGCCGCCACTGCAGGCGGAGAATTAACAAAGTGAGCCACGGAGCCGGCCCCCCAACATTCTCTTTAAATACAAGTACATTTGCTTCAGTTCATTTCCAGTTTTCAGTTTTATTTTTTTCACTTTACTTCCTGGTTTAAATCTTTTAATTAATTACTTTAAATCTTTTCTCCCTAAACTGTGGCTATCAAACACAACTTTTGCTAGCCATTGCTATAAACTGATACATCCTAATTCAAGTGTTATTGAGATAATTCAGAAATAGATGCTTGAGTTATTGGTTGAAATTTTAGCTATGTATTTAAAATTCTAATCAATCTACATTTAATGAAATTAAATTATCCTTTCTGGTATTCCAAAAATTGACAATTTCAGAAAAAAAAGTAGATATTTATGGCCACTGTACATCTTGGTTTACTTTACAGATATATTATATCAGAGGTTTTCCTGAGTTAAATGTGATGATACATCACATTTATAGAAAAATAATTAAGTACAGAAAATAAAGAATGGAGCAATCATGAATTTGTATGGTGTATAATTTCTACTCTTTTATATGCAATTGTAGAGTGTTCCTACTCATAATACTTCCCCATATTCTACTCTAGTATTCACAGCTATAAATATTCTGTAATATCTGTGGTAGGAAGAGAAAGTAGGTTGATGTAAAAAGATTCATTTTCAAGTTCCACGGTGTCACTTACTGCCCGTGGATCTTGTAAAAGTTACTTCTCTTCTTTCTCCAAGTATGGAGTCCCATATATTTAAGTTATTTTTTAAATCATACATTTTTAACATTATGCTAATTTCTGGACTCATACTTCCAATTGACTATTAATTGTATTCACTTCCGTGTTAACAAGTATCTCAAATTCAACAGGCCCAAAACAAAATTCCATCACCATTTCACCAGTTACCCAGGCTGAAAGCACCCTTGATTTCTTTCTTTCTTTCATCTATACTCTGTTTATCAGACAGTCTCTCTGTTCTACTTCTAAAATATATTCCAACCTTAACCTACTCACCCCTTCCACATCTTGAGAGCAGTGTAAAACACAAGCATGTCTGTTTTTGTTATAATTTCCTACGAAAATTCTTTCTACTCCTGCATCCATGCCAACAGGACCTTTTAAAATAGAAACCCAATCATATGACTCCCTTCTCAAAATCTTCAGTTGCTTTCTATTTTAATTCTGGTGAAATCCAAATTCCTCCCCATGGCTTGCATGTCTTGGTCTCCGCCCACGTGTCTGTCCCCACGTGCAACCTCTCTTCTCTCCGTTCATTATGTCCTAGCTGCACTCCACACTGTCCTCAAAGCATCCCAAGCTGTTTTGTGACTCGGAGAGTTTACATATGTGCTTTCCCTTCTCTTCCTGGCAAGCTTTGCCTGTACACCTTATGGTATACTTTATATACTGTCTTTATTCTGGTCTCTGCTCAAACCATCCTCCTAAGAGATGTCTCCCATGACCAACATATATATTTGTAGTATCCCTAACCTAGTCATTTCTTATCATTCTATCCCACTTTAATTTTCTTGATATTACTGAATGCTACATATAATTTTAATCTTCATTTCTTTATGTGATTAATTTTTTTATTTATTTATTTTATTTTTTGACAGGCAGAGTCGACAGTGAGAGAGAGAGACAGAGAAAGGTCTTCCTTTTGCTGTTGGTTCACCCTCCAAAGGCCGCCGCGGCTGGCGCACTGTGGCCGGCGCACCACACTGATCCGATGGCAGGAGCCAGGTGCTTCTCCTGGTCTCCCATGGGGTGCAGGGCCCAAGCACTTGGGCCATCCTCCACTGCACTCCCTGGCCACAGCAGAGAGCTGGCCTGGAAGAGGGGCAACCGGGACAGAATCTGGCACCCCAACTGGGACTAGAACCCGGTGTGCCGGCGCCGCAAGATGGAGGATTAGCCTAGTGAGCCACAGCACCGGCTATATGATTAATTGTTTTCTGTCCCTGTCACTAGAATGTGAGCACCACAGGAGCAGAAACCTGGTCTGTGGTGTTCATGATACAAACCCAGTTTCTAGTGAAATCCATGGAGCATAGAAAGTATTCAATAAATAAATAATTCAGTAAAAATCCTGAACATTTCTGAACCTCATATAAAAATAAAATGGGCGTAAGGAAAATAACTCTGAGGCAATCTTGGGGAGCCCTTGTTATAGCAGCACTCTAAACACCATGCAATTGTCAGGTGGGGTGCTTCTGTTCATGTGGAGCCGAAGGAACTGAAACCAAACCGCAGTCCCTGGAGACAACAAACAGACCAAGTTCTCATTTCTTCTACTGAGCCAAAAAGAGGCAAGTCTACATGGGTTGCCATCAACATTTTAGAATGCTGGGGGGGCAATAATCTTGCATGGCTTGCCCCATCGTCTTTGTATGTGTTCTGCCCCTGCTCTCAACATCAAGAAAAACACGTGTCCATTCTTTGACAGTTAGGGCTCTTTGCTTGCCTCCAGCCAGATGGAAGAGTAATCTCCTTCCAGAATTTAACCATCTGTTTCTGATGGCCTCACATCTACATGTAGTTCCCATGTTGTTTTGTAATTACTTCCTCTATTTTTTATTTTGAAGTGCATTATAAAGCTACCCTAGGAAAATTGCTTTTTTTTTACATCCAAATTATCAAACTCAATGATATAAATATAGGAGTTGTTTCTTAAGATTACTAGGCCCTGGATGATGATGTTACTAATGATGGATTTATTATAACATGTTGTATCTTTTTGTATCATTGCATGCCAAGGGCTTCATATGATTAACTAATTTAATTTCCTCACTAGACCTGTGAATAACAATCTAAAAAATATTAACTTGTCATGTGAAAGATCAAAATAACTGAAAATTGTACTTCTGAGGGCAGTGATGACACAAGCATCCCTGGAGTAGGGTGTTTTAAAGTTGAAATTGTTTCAATAGGTGGAGAAAAGTTGGGAATAATACAGTTTTAGAAGACTGCAGAAAAACTTTCAAAGACATGAAAAATATTTTAGTATTTCATGAATTTAGTGGTGAGCCATTTGTTTCCTACTCTGTAGTCTTGGCATAGATATATTCTATGACCCTGAATTTGTGGTTCTTCTCAGGAAATGCAGTATTTAAAGAGAAGATTTTTAAAAACTTATTTCAGAGGCAGGAGAGAGAAAAGAGAGAGTGAGAGAGACTTTCTGAGAGAGAGGTAGCTCCTATCCACTGGTTCACTACCTATATGCCTGCAAAGTCCAGGGGTGAACCAGCATGCAGTTAGGAGCTGAGAGTTCAATCCAGGTCTCCCATGTGGGTATCAGAGACACAATCACTTGAGCTATTACCCACTTCCTCCCAGGATCTATATTAGCTGGAAGCTAGAATGGAGAGCAGAGCCAGCACTTGAATCCAGGACCTCTATCGTGGGATGTAGGTGTCCCAACAATTGCATAAGCACCAAATTTCTGCTCACAAGAGAGAGGATTTGAACACTTGTGGGAAGCCTTGGTTTTCATTCTGAAGTGAGTTGACTTATATGTTCCTTTATCATGCACTAGGCATTGGGCAATATTCTAGGACCCAGAGAAATAATGTTGGGTAAGACCAAGTTTCTACCCTGAGAGAGCCTTCAGTCTGGATGACAGGGACATTGAATAGACCAGTAAACAAACAAAATTTAAATGATTTGGATAAAATTTAAAAATAAAATAATTTGGATAAAATTTAAATAATTTGGATAAAGACAGTGACCTGAAGAAAATTTTGCAAAGTAAAAGGATATAAACACAAGGGAAGAAATCTTAACCTAGATGGCCTACCAAGGTAGCTTCTCCAAAAGGGTACTATTTAAGCCAAGACCTGAATGATGCAGAAAGTTAACAGTGTCATTCAGAGAACTCTGAGAAGAGTTGTCTAAGAAGAGTGACTAACAGGTGCAGGGGTGGGAATGAGTTTGGTGTATTAAAGAAGCAGAGAGAAATCCAGGTTTCAGGCAGAGGCTGCAGATGTCATTCAGCAATTAGGCTGATGAAGGGCCAGGTCACACAGATCATTGGCTGAGGAATGGAGTAGTATACTGTGAGCAAACATTTGCAAGGACAGGCACATTTGTGAATTGGGGATGGGAATGCAATGAATGAACAGGTTTTTATGACTAACATATTCCAGGAAAGACTCTTATTTGAAGAGAATAGATCAAATGAATTATTACACTAAGATGATTTTCAGATAAGCCAAGTTTACCTCTAGAGGTTAACTACATTTTCTTTCTTTTTTATTTGCATGATAGGTGAAGGATAATAAAAGTGAAAATGGCTCAAAATATTTTTTAAATTTGTCAAATTAAGATTTTAAGCAAAATTGCCATGGAATGATTAACCATAACCATTTGAAAATATGTATACAGATAACTGGTAATGGAGCCCTCATATACCTTAATTTTTGCATTGATATGAAGCAAAAAAAAATGAATAAACCCTGTTTTCCAGTCTCCAGAGA